TCCAGCATGAGCAAGGGGGAGTGTTGATTGTGTAGGTGGTTGTGGTATTTTGCTCTAGCTGGTTGTGGGCTAAGGGTTTGGGCAAAATATGATTGCTAGACTTGTTACGGGCTGGATTTGATCTCGCACCAAACAAGCACCAACAAACCTTTGCTACCCACTACAACACCTTTGGTGTTGCTAGTTTGGCATTTTGGATTGTTGGGGATTGTTGTATGGCGAGGGTTGGGATGGTAGGGTTTGTCAAACTAATCATTTTTCAGATCTGAACTCTAGCTTAAGCCATTCCTATATGTAATCCATGGCTGCCAAGTAATTCGGCTAGGACACCCCGTCGCACTTAAATCGCGATAGCGATCGGCCTAGATCTTGGTTTAAGACGAGCGTTACCATTCTGGAAAGTAGAGATTAAGACGTTTCCAACGCGTACCCGCTCATAGCTTAAGGTTACGTGAGCTGTATGCAATGTTCCGTCGAAGTCGGCGGACTTAGTCTCTTGTACGCTCTCCAGATTCGCACGCTATCCATCACCCCCTGCCGCGTTTGGTGTCAGCACAGCACATGCTGACGTCATGCGGAGCCTTGCATCCCTGGCCATGGCTTGCACTGCCATGCCCGCTGCCTCGCGCCCCTCCATGGCCAAAGTGCTCTCCCAGCTGAAACGGCTGCACGAGGAGGTGGTTAGGCTGGAAAAGGAGAGTGGTTGGGAGCAAGGAGTTGGGTTGGGAATACTTGGAACAGGGGGTGTGAGCTGGATGGTGATGGAGAAGAGTGACACCCCTGCAATTCAGACGACGGTGGGGAGAGTGAGTGCGGTGATGGGAGAGAGGGATGCTATAGGCAGCTCTGAAGAGAATGAGAGCTCGATTGCTGGTGGGGGTACAAGTGGGGAAGCAAGTGGGAGCGTGGCTGGTTACCAGAAATGAATGGGCTACATCTGAATGGTTCACATAGAAGTCTCTTTTTATAAATGTATAACACTTTACAAAATATGTGTATTGTGAAAGTGCAATTGATTGTAAGGCAGCAGCAAGACCATTTTGAAGAGCCGGTAGCTTTTCTTTGAGCCATGTTGCCTTTGCAAGTACTGTACTAAGACTCACAACAAGAGTGCATCTGCAGGTAAGTAAGACATGAGGCTCGTTGGCAGAATGTCATACCATAATCCCCCATACAGTAGAGCTCGGGTGCCACCTTCATTGGTAAAAATTGGAAGGTGAGTGCAATATTTTAGGATAAACTAGTGCACCTTGGTTTGACATTAAAACAGGAGTACACATTCGTCAAAGGGTTGTGGGTGTTATATACACAATAGGCTCAAATGTGCCTCAAACGAAATATAGAATGGGCAGACGGATGTCGGCCGAGAGGCTTTAAACATTGATAGCGTTCTGCTCACACCACCACATGAGGTGCTAAAAAATGGATCTGGAGCGTTTTAACGTCACCTACAATTAGCAAGTTGAATCACTTGATTTAATAATAAAATAACGACGTAAGAGTAGTTTGAATGAACGGCGATCTAGCAGCACCTATTGTCAGAAATGAAACAGCAGGAATGAGTTGCATTGACAGGAAGTTGGTACATATGCCTAACCCTAAAAGGGTCATACCTTTTAGAGGGTGTCCCACTACAGCCTACGAACATATATATAGTTTTGACACACCCCCATACGCAAAGTGAGGAACAGCAAGAACAACAAGCGGTAACAAGACCAGTCAAGAGAAGCAACAAAGCAAAGCTCAGGGTGGATCTCAAGATCACTACACAGTCCGAGCACAAGCAAGCGGCAACAAGGCCAGTTCACATGCAGAGTTATAATAGCAAAAGCAGTACACTGATCACAACCTAGCAAGTGTAAACATGCAGGTATAAAGATATATAGTAGTGTACAACAAGGGCAAGGCGAGGTAAAGAGACAAGCAAGTGAGGCAGAGTGGGCACAAGCCCAAGAGTAGTGCAGAAACGCTGATGGTCACCATACCTTAGGGCCTTGGTGAAGATATCAGCAATGTTGGATTGTGAGGCCACGTAAGCAAGACGAAGCTGACCATGCTGCTGTAACTCTCGTGCAAGAAAGTAACGAAGAGCAATGTGCTTCGTTCAGGGCTCCAGTCTCTACTCCCGACGCAAGGCAATCATGGCCTTGTTGTCGACGTACAGAACCGGAGGAGAACGAGGCCGCTCACCCAAGTCGGTCAGCAAGTAGGTCAGCCAGCGTAACTCCTGCGCAGCCATAGCCCCAGCGTAGATCTCGACCTCACAGCTGGAGCTACACACAGAAGACGAGCATGTGGACCTCCACGAGACAGAACCAGTGCCGAGACTGAAAGATTAACCCTGTGACGACCATTGAGTCGCCTGGTCGTCAGCCCAAGAAGCGTGTGAGTGCCCTGTGAGCACAACTGGGCCTTGACGGAAACTCTCTATCTTCTTCCTTCTTCCACTTCTTGGCCTCTCCTCCGCCCTGTTCTCTGCTACCCTTCTCCTTCCTTCTAGTCTCCCATCTCTAGCTCCCTGTCATACCCACTAGAAATGTCGGGAACCACACTGTCCTAACAGGAGGGCATCAAGCCCTAAGCTTGGCTGGGTCACTCGTTGCTTGGGTTGGCTTCTCTCTCTACCTGGAAGCAAGGGATGTAGATTGCATAAAACAGTGTAGTGTGAGAAAATAAACAAGCAAACCAGATGGCACATCTGAGAAAGGGGGGAGTTGAGAAAGGGGGAAGTTGAGAAAAGGGAGAGTTGAGAAAAGGGGGGGTGGGGGGGGGGGGTTTGAGAAAGGGGGGAGTTGAGAAAGGGGGGGGGGGGGGTTTGAGAAAATGGGGGGTTGAGAAAGAGGGGAGTTGAGAAAGGGGGAATTTGAGAAAGGGGGGAGTTTGGAAACGGGAGAGTTGAGAAAGGGAGTCGTGATAATACAAGTTATGGAGGGGTCTTCCTTACAGACTGATACCGTAATAAAAGACCCACGCCTGGACTCTTATTTGGGGAGGGTCCTTCGTCTGGGAGGTTACAGTACAACAAAGGGACCCTAAACAGTACACACGAACTGGGTAACACTCTCAGGGGTGCGTACTACTGGTGGGTCTTATGTACAAGGATTACGGTACTTACGAGATCTTTGCATGTCATTTACACTATGAATTATGGGGCCCCTTGAATTGCAGAGTACCTTGATCTCCGGATAAATGCAGGTGTGCTTTCAATGAATCAGGGCAAGACCGCCGATGCGCATATAATCAAATATATTTGTTTCCGCATAGGATAGTGAAATTTAACAACCACTGAATTTCCTTTTTTACGAGTACAGAAGTGCAGCCCTTGCGGTTGCAGCTTTGGTAAAATTTGTGTTCTAAGTGTAGGATTACATTGTGAATTTTGATACCTTCATCCATTCACCAAATGTTCCCTAACGGTCCAATCATACTCCTTGGTGGTGGATAGCAGTGACATAATTCACACACCACCAATGTTGATTGGAGGGGCAGTTACCAACGACAGGATGAACAGCCACTTGGGTTTCTCTATGAGGAAATGTAGAGGAGCCTGGTGCACAGCTCAACAGAGGTCCTTGATACCAAACTATTTTGCCCGTTTATTTCGATTCATTTGTTCGGCAAACTGCGAACATTTTCTTACACATACCAGAAGCTATGGTTTGCTTGTTGGGCACAGCGTTCTTATTTGAGATTGCCTGAAGGAGGTCGTGGTAGACACACCACCACAGGAGGTCATGCAATTTTTTGGCACAGGCCTGCCGCTCAATTTCTCTTCTCCTGCTGCTCCTCCAGAGCCACCAGCACCTCTAACATTGCGTGATATGCCTGCATAAAAGGCACCTCCTTCACCTACCATCTTCATGAATGGTGCACCAATTCTTACAACAATCTAGCCAGATTCCAATACTTCTGAGGACTTGGTTGAAGTAGCAACCAACAGCGAGGGAAGAGAAGATGCGGCCAACAAGGAGGAGGCAGCAACGCGTTAAAGCCACTCCAAAGATTTGCCGTGGGACAAGGCAGCTATCCGTGGGAGCGATGAAGCATACTGGTCGCGCGAAAGGCTCCCAGAGCATCTGCTCATTCCCAATTTCCCCCTCTTAGTCAAAATAGATCGCACCCCTTTGCCCAGAACAGCGATGCCTGCCTTCTTCCACCAAAAACAGAGAGATGGGACGCAAACGACATGCTTACACAGTGCAAGAGAAACTCAAGTGGATCATTCATGTCGAGGCGGTGAAGGTAGTGAGCGTAGTATCACGGGAGTCGGGAGTCTCATGGAAGCAACTTGCAGCATGGAAGAAACTGGAGTTGACATCGGCTGCCACACATCACAGGCGTGTGCATGGCCACGAATGGGCTTCCTGGTACAGCGACATGGAGCAGGAACTATATGCCCATGTGATCGGGGCGCGCTCTAAGGAAATTGCGGTGTCTGCCGATCGGCTTCAGGTGTGGTTCTGCGAGGTGATGAAGGAGCTTAACCCAACACGACTGTGTAGTGGAAAGGCTCCCACTGCGGGTCTGGACGGTGGAATCTATCTGTGCATGCGAAAAGAGAAGTTAGGCATAAACCATCACACTGTCAGTTCGCTTGGTCAATTCTGCATTGATGCCTAGTATTTCGGTCAAGCATAAGCTTCGCTGAATGTCACTAGATGTTTTTAGTGCTGTGATAATAAGTAATAAGGTGTGTTTCAGCTTCCACCTTTCTGTGTTGCCCCTTACAGCAAAGTGTTCAAAGAGGTTGTTGTGCTTCTGGCGCTTTGATCGGCGTAGTCGACGGGTGTACGATATTGACACGAGGTGGATCATCCATGCCGACTCGACATCTTTGGGGCTCGATATGCCCACCCATTACACTGTAGAGGAGATCGGCAGCAACTCCGTCCCTATCAGAAGCGTTGTTCCAATGCTTCGATCCACAAAAATGCATAATTTTTCCAAAACATGGTAGGTATGTATATACACTGTAACTTAATAACTCAAGCGCAGTTCATTCAGTTGTGGCCATCACCCATGCTCCTACTTGCTTTCCCACTCGTCACCTTGCTAACAATCGAGCCCTCATCCTCTTCAGGACTACCTACGTCATCCGTTGTTCCCACCACCGCACTCTCACTCCCTACTGTCGATGCAGCTGCAGGGCTCACACGATTCTCCCTCACTAACCAACTCGCTCCACCCGTTCCCAGTCCTCCCAGGCCACTCCCTTGCTCCAATAGGCTCTCCCCCTCCCGCCTCACCACCTCCTGGTGGAGCTGCTTCAGCTGTGAGAGCACTTTGGCCATGGAGGGGCGCGAAGCAGCGGGCATGGCAGTGCATGCCAACGCCAGGGATGCAAGGCTCTGCATGACGTCAGCATGCACCATGCTGGTGCGGGAGGCAGCAGGGGAGACCATTCTGGGGTCTATGATGGAGCTGACGTCACCACTGGAGAGCTCTGCAGCCGCCTTTACGATGGAAGAGAGGGGGATGTGAAAGGAGGGAGTTTTGATTTGAGTCGACTCAAATGTCATCCGGGGCAGTCTCACAGGTGCCGCAGTCTCACAGGTGCCTTAGTCTCACAGGTGCCGCAGTCTCACAGGTGTCGCGGTCTCACAGGTGCCGCAGTCTCACAGGTGCCGCAGTCTCACAGGTGCCGCAGTCTCACTGGTGCCGCAGTCGCACAGGTGCCGCAGTCTCACATGTGCCGCAGTCGCACTGGTGCCGCAGTCTCACAGGTGCCGCAGTCTCACAGGTGCCTTAGTCTCACAGGTGCCGCAGTCTCACAGGTGCCGCAGTCTCACAGGTTTCGCGGTCTCACAGGTGCCGCAGTCTCACAGGTGCCGCAGTCTCACAGGTGCCGCAGTCTCACAGGTGCCGCAATCTCACAGGTGCCGCAGTCTCACAGGTGCCGCAGTCTCACAGGTGCCACAGTCTCACAGGTGCCGTAGTCTCACAGGTGCCGCAGTCTAACAGGTGCCACAGTCTCACAGGTGCCACAGTTCAAAGAGCATCCAATGGCCGCCCGGGATTCGATACGCCTCAGATATTTCAGGCGTCTCAGAACAAGGACCCTGCCTCACGAGCATGGGAGTTTTGAGTCTCACAGGTGTTGCAGCTCGGGGAGCACCCAAAGGCCACCTGGGATGGATCCGTGCAAGGTGCTGTCGCTTAGGTCCCTGGCAGGGAGTGAAAGGAGGGCGCAAGGAATCGGAACAGGTTATGAGGGCCCGAGGGCACGGAGAGGGGAGAGATGGCTTTAAGTTCAGTTGACGGTCTTCCTGGAACTTATCCGTTCAATGAGCTGTCAATCAGGTCACTGGTAGGCCACGTGGGCAAGACATGGAAACGGGGCATGGGGGCACCGTGCAAGGCCACGGGGGCAGGGCATGGGACGGGCACAGGCGCAAGGCATAGGGACAGGGCATGCATGTGTGTAGACCATGTGTGTGGACCATGTGTGTGGGCTGGCCATGAACGATAGGGGGAAAGGCATGCGGGGCGGAACAGAGGGGGAGAGGAAAGGCGACGGTTCCCAAGAGCAAGGCATTCGAGGCATCTCATCTCATTCTGTGTGTTTCTATCCACCAACGGCCAAGGCTCTCAGACAGCCTGCTCTCACACACCCTCAAGCGTGCTCACACACGTTATTCCCTGCCCAGCCCATCCACCTTTGTGTCGACTTTTGAGTCGACTCTAGGGTCAGCCTGCTATCCACTCTTGGCATGCTCACACATAAAGCATGTTCCCCTCAGGACCTCTCTCAAGCCCCTGACCTTTCTTCCACACATTCGAGATTCACAAGTCTCTCAAGCCTCGCAGGTCTATCATGCTTCCAACTCTCGAACATCTCGACCCTCCTCGTTTCTCTCACGCTTCCGACCCTCAAGACTCACAGGCGCCTCAGCTGCGACAGCAGGCTGAGAAACGACGGTGTGGTGCCCCATAGGCTGTTGTGACTCAAATCGCTGGTGCGAGGAGGAAGGGGGAGAGGAGCGCGGGGAGGAAAGGAGGAGACAGTGGGAGAAGGAGGACAGAGACAAGGAGGGAGGGGCGGTGTGAGGGGAGGATGGAGGGAGATGGAGTGGGGTAGGGAGAGCAGGAGGAGAGCGCGGGAGGGGAGGCTGGGAGGGAGGGGGGAGGGGAGATGGGAGCGGGGAGGATATGAAAAAGAGGGCGGCGGAAGGGGAGGGAGGAAGGCAGGGAGGAAGAGAGGTAGGGAGCTGACGGAAGGAGGGAGGGGGTGGGGTCTTACAGGAGAGAGAGGGAGGTGAGGGCACTGAATGTGATTGGGATGGAGCCACTTAGAGAGCAGTTCGCGAGGTTCCTGTTTTGGGACGAAACGCAGGGCATGGAGCAGAGGGGAAGGGGGATTAAGGGAGGACAGAAGAGAATAAAAGGGGGAACAGGGTGCAACAGGTTTGAAACTCTAGACGGCAGATGAATGGTCATTATTAGGGAGGGACGATAGGTCCATACAAGAGTGCAGAGTGTGCTGGTGGTGAGGCTTACAGGAGAGTGAGGGTGGTGAGGTTGCCAATCTCCCTGGGAATTCTGCCATTCAACGGTGAGTTGCTCAGGTCACTGCTCGTGAGGTACATGCCCAAGACATGGCATACCATGGTAAGGCATGGCATAACAAGCCATGCCGCACGTGTCATGCCCACATGACATAACATCAAACATCACTTCTGTTGTGTGTCGATGAACAAACAAGAAAGCGTCCTTTCATGAAGCATGGTCAACACAACGTGACAAACCATGGCATAACAAGCCAAGCCGCACGTGTCATGCCCACATGACATAACATCAAACATCACTTCTGTTGTGTGTCGATGAACAAACAAGAAAGCGTCCTTTCACCACCGTGCCTCACATTGCAACCACCGTGCCTCACATTGCCACCACCGTGCCTCACATTGCCACCACCGTGCCTCACATTGCCACCACCGTGCCTCACATTGCCACCACCGTGCCTCACATTGCCACCACCGTGCCTCACATTGCCACCACCGTGCCTCACATTGCCACCACCGTGCCTCACATTGCCACCACCGTGCCTCACATTGCCACCACCGTGCCTCACATTGCCACCACCGTGCCTCACATTGCCACCACCGTGCCTCACATGGCATTGAGCATCCCATCACATTGCATCCTCACAATGCATCCCATCACATTTCATCCCATCATATTGCTTCCCATCACATTGCCATTCGATCCCCTCCCATCCAACACATCTCCCATCACGTCCCCGTCCCACCCTATCCACTCCATCAACCCATCTCCACCAAGTACATCCCATTTGCAGCGCATCCCATCTTTTCCATTCCACATGGTTTCCATTCCGCCCCTCTGTTCCATACCATCCCATCCGTTCCATCCCAACCCATCCTTTCCATCCCATCCCATCTTTTTCATCCCATCTCATCCCATCTGATTCATCCCATCCCATCCTTCGTTCCATCCCATCCTTCGCATTCCAACCGATCCTTGCATCCCCGTTCCATCATTTTCATGGCGCTCCATCCTTTCCATCACTCGCTATCCAGCCCAACTCCAAATCGCATCGTCTCGAGTCGCACGGCATCATGGAACCCATTCCCCAATGTTTCAAATCACTAAATCCCTCCGCTTTGTGTGAAGTGTTCAAGCTATAGCGGCCCTTTTTTCACCTCCGCTTCCAGTCTGTTTTTTCTATCTCACCGTCCCCATACCGGTCCAACTATTGAGTCACCTTGTAGCGCGTCTATCCGTGCAACGGGTTGTGCAGTGTGCACGGGGAGGCTCGATGCGATGATCGTAGCAAAAACAAGAAAAAACATCGTTTGAAAGCGGCGCGTCGCGCGTCTATCGGTGCAACGGCTTTCGTTTGAGCGCAGCGGCCGTGGCCTCCGCGGATTGTAAGGCTCGGTTTTCTAGAGTTCTGCGACGCAGACGAGTGGTAGCTATGAGAGAATTCTCGAATTAACCCCAGATTGGCAAGGACGTCGTGGTTGTGAAGTGTGAAAATGGCTTCGGCTGGTATCGTGCCACAAATTCCGGCACCGTCGCTAAGCGGGAGAGGGAAATGATCGCGTGGGCTAGTGCGACTACGACTGAGCTCAAGGGAAGGCTTGGAAGCGCAAAGAGGGACTGTGTATAACTGCTTCTACCGGATTGAGATGTAAAAGTGGCCAGTCCAACATGCGTGTGTTGCAAGGATTGGTTGCAAGAGGGGGGGTGGGGAAGCACTCACACTTGAGGGCGTGACTGGAGATTACGTCTTCATGCGGTAGAATGCGTTCTGGTACGATCACGAACGGTCTTGTTTTGAAATGAAATGGTTGGGTACAGTGATAGGACATTGTAGACTTTTCGGACCCGCCCTGAAGGGAGATGGTGTGAAGGTTCATCAACAAGTCCGACGATATAGATGATTTCGTAGCTATCGTCGCATGTAGTTCGCATATGGCTCGTCTCGAAACCTAATTGCTGAACGAAAACTCTCTCAGTCACCTGTCACGAATGAATGTCATCTTTTTGGCGAAACTCGAAGCTGAACGATAAACTCGTAACGATCTCTACAAACCTGGAACATTGAAACATCGTGAACAGGGCAGCAGGTTAGGGCGGTGCATGGGTATTTTGTGGTGGGCTTGATCGGGCGCGAAAACCTTGGCGAGTGGACGAAGCTGTGTAGGAGAGGTGAACGTCAGATGGCAGGGTCGTAAATTGCAGCGAAACTCAACCTACGAACAATTCTATTCCTGCTAAATCGTGAACTCTCTAAACTCAGTTCCTGCTATTCGGTGATAAATTCACAGCACCATAAGTGGTCTTTAAACAGGCAGCGTTACCACGTGAACACCCATGTAATCAATAAAGTCGGCTTGATTCCCCTGCTTTTCGCCGCGAATTATTGGACCCAGCATCGATGGCCGTGGATGACGCTGAAACCAGATTCACATGTGGGAGAGCATGTTACGCGTTCTGCATCGCGGTAGCCGTTGGATCTGTGTGCACTTGAATCGTTTGGGCAAACTCTCGCCATACCAAATTTCCCTCGCCCAACCACGCCTGAGTGTTGCGCCAGGTTTGGAGGGAACTTCGCAACTTCAGATAGACATCTTCGAACGCGTCTCTCGAATAGCCAGCATTCAAATGGATATACAATAACGAACCTAGGTCGCATCTTGGTCGTCCATGTGATGATGCACCTGCCAGATCAACGAGATTGTCTAACCTGATTCGAAGCGACGAAACGAGGTGGTCTTTCCAGAAGCCAGCACATTGCGCCATCGGTTTGCGAATGATAGTCCATCGCTTCTCCTTCTTTCTTCCCCGCGACTCACGCGAGTCAAGCACCGTCCACGTCACTCACGGGAGGCCCCGCGAAATGATCCATCGCACGCATCGCGTTCCTAAAATTCAACCTATCGGCAACTCATGATACAAGCCAAGCACATATCGCGAGCGCATTATTCGCTGCCATGGCGCGGCGGCTGTCACGCTGCTCGCACTATAAACCACCAGCCCAGCACATTCAGAGCTCAAAGCAAGTTTGCTATTCTTCCATTGCGCCTGCCGTTCTACCGTTCTCCCTAAACTGCTTGCACTGGACTCGCCTTGCACTGGACTCGCCGTGCACTGGACTCGCCGCGCACTGGAGTGTCCTTCTCAAGGGCGGACCGCGCTGCTCGAGCAGTGTCGCCTTGCATAGGACTCGTTGCCTACCATCCGCACTTACACACTCTCGGCGGCGCGAACCAATACCGTGACTCGATCGTACGTCACAACTCCGTTGCTCCACTTCAGGCGCCGCCGCTTCCGCGATACTTTAGTTGAAGGCTTTGCAACGGATCATCTCATCTTTCTTCACCATGAGGAGGATGACTCCTGCGGGCGCCTCTTGTGCCGGCCTCCTGCTCCTCGCACTTGCCCTCATTTGCGGTCAGTCTCTCTTTGCGCTCAATGGTGTGATTGTAATGCCATCCGTGCCTTATTGCTCTCTTCTGTTTTTGACTTCCATATTTCTCTCACCTGATTTATTTCTTCTCCCTGCCCTCGCTTCTCTCCTCGCTGCTCTCGTTTCTCTTCTCCGCGCGCCCTCTCTCTTGTGCTCGCAGCGGCCGGGATGACGAAGGCAGCGAATTGCGACAACAAGGGGAAAACGATCACACTGCATGACACGATGAAGGCAGCAGCGCACGGCGACGCTGCCGCAGTCCGAACAATCACACTGCCGCATGACACGCTCGGCGGCGCCGCTGCAGCGTACTACAGAGATGAAACGCCAGCGAGGCCCAAACCGGCGAGCAAGAAAGCCAACGCCGCGAGGAGGGCACTCGTGGTACGCGAGGGAGCCACCACCAGCGGCGACAGCAGTGCGCGCGTGCAGGTTGCCACGGCGGTCGCGCTGGGGGTGGCCGCCGCTCAGCTGAACTTCACGACGCGGCAGCTGTGCGTGAGCGTGGACAAGAAGGCGCAGAAGGCGCTGAAGAGCGCCAAGAAGAAGAGTGCGGCGGTGTGGTGGAAGGGCGGTGGGCCTTCAGGCAGTGGGGCTTCAAGCAGCGCGTCGGCGGGTGGGCAGTGTGCGCGGGTCAAGTTCTTTGGTAAAGACGGCTGCCAGGGCCCGCCGCTGGACAGCATTGTCAACCCGCGCACACCTGGGTCCACGTGAGTCGGGGTACATGTGAGTCGGGGTGCATGTGAGTCGGGGTGCATGTGAGTCGGGGTGCATGTGAGTCGGGGTGCATGTGAGTCGGGGTGCATGTGAGTCGGGGTGCATGTGAGTCGGGGTGCATGTGAGTCGGGGTGCATGTGAGTCGGGGTGCATGTGAGTCGGGGTGCATGTGAGTCGGAGTGCATGTGAGTCGGGGTGCATGTGAGTTGGGGTGCATGTGAGTTGGGATCGAGTGTGATGCATAGCACGGGAGTTGCATGACTTTAAGGGGAGGAGGGGATGGATGGGGAAGGGAGGGGAGGGTTTGGGAGGGGAAGGGAGTGAGGAAAGAGGAAATGAGAAAAGGAACAGGCACTGGGAGAAGTTTTGTTTAGGCTCAATATGCGATCTTGTGTTGTCAACGCCCTTCAAGAATTCCTCAAGTGGGCTTCAGTAGCGTCGGTTCTCTCTTTTTCAAATAGCGTGTGTGTGTGCTTCCACTCGCCACGCCCTTCAGGCTCCCCAGCACGCAGAAGGATATCCTCAAGTTGGCTTCAGTGGCATCGGTTCTCTGCGATCTGAATGTCAGCTCCAGCGGTACGTGCTTTGCTGGGTCAGCTTCAGTGGCGGTACGTGCTTTGCTGGGTCAGCTTCAGTGGGGGTACATGCTTTGCTGGTCCGCAAGTCAGCTCCAGTGGTACTTCCATTGCCGATCCCCCTAGAGGGTTCTTTGCATTGCTGCAACTACCTTTTCGAGGGTGCTATGCCCTGATGTTGTCACTTTTGCTGCCACTTTCTCATGTCCCTTTTCTCGCCTGGGTGATGCAGATCCTGCGTGTGCGGCATTGGGGTGTGACCCTGGTGGCACCTGTCAGGTGGATCAGAGCAGCGAGCTTTTCTGTCAGTGGGGTGAGTGAGCATGGTTGCCCCCCTTTATCGCTCTCACTTCAACCCATGCTCTCTCGTATGTCGAGACCCATTGAAGCTTCCAATTGCGATTCCTTCCATCCATTGTAAGGCCCCACACACGTCACAACACAATGTCATTCCTTTGAATGGAATGTGTCCACCCCATGAGAGCGAGGCAGCACTGAATAAGTGTAATGTACTTGGCTATGTGCCCCCATAGCAAGCTGACTGCTTCGCCTTTTGCCGACCTGCCTCTCTTCTGTCTCGTTTGTCTGGACTGGAGCCACGATCCCCCTCTAGCAAACCCTACCGACATGTCACACCCCACCAATGCCCACACTTTACCCATAAACTCCCACCTTTCCTCTGCCCTGTCTTGCTTCTCCGGTTGCTTGCCCCTTGCTGCATTCTTCAGACACTCCCTGTGGCTCTTGCCCCAAAGGAGCCACCTGCAAAACAACTTATAATTATGGAAAGTATTGGGCGCCAGTGCCGGTGCAGTACTGCATGTGCCCTCAAGGGTATGGCATGTACGACGCCACCGATAGACAGGGCGCGTGTATTCGAAGTGAGTTTCTGTGGAACAATCAACTTTTGAGTTGACTCAAAAATTGACTTGGTATTGCATGTGCCCTGAAGGGTATAGGATGTTCGACAGCACCGACAGAGTGGGCTCGTGCACACCGAGTGAGTTTCTGTCAATCACCACTCCATTTTCACTCCATTGTCTTCTTTCCCCATTAGCCAATCACCACTCTGCTTGGATTTTCCTCACCCTACCATGGCGGAGGCCTGATGGTGGAGGCTAAGTTACCCGAACATGATGGCGATGCGTGTACAAGATGCAACTAATGCTGCCATGAGTTGTTCCACCCACGCGCCACTCCTTTGCAGCTGGTCCCGGACGCGCCTCTGCTTTCAGCCTCACGCTCATTGCCAATGAAACTGCCAAGGACAAAGCTTCTCGGCCCTACACCTTCCGCCTCGACAACCACATATGCACGCAGCTCCCGGATGCAGTGGCGGGGAAGGTCACAGCAGCGTACATTATTACAACCAACAACGACTACTTATCGATTTGCCATAAAGTCAGAATCTACCCATCAGATAACTGTTTCGATGATGTCTTCGCAGAATGGAACTTGGGCTCACGAATTGCGACAGGTTATTGGTCGTACCAGTAAGTGATTATCGCTCTCCACACCTGTACCAGCTTTTGCGCATGCCTTTACCTGCTATTTTGCTTCCCTTTCTGCACAAATAAAAGACAGGGCTTTACTGTCATCTTCTCTCTGTACTCCCATTGTTATCTGCCAGGGACATGATGAACCCAGAGGACGAATCGGCAATGGCGCTCCGAAATATGCGCTCGGCAGTTTGCCTAGTAGAAGGTCGCAACACGTATCCTTAGGAAGCTGGTTGTAATCACTCAATAAGGTGTCATCTGCACATGCTTCTTCAGCATAATTGGCTTCTCTCCCTTTCTCGATGAATACCCGAGTTATGGTAAAACATTATTGTAACTGTCAAACTACCGTATAGTTGCATGATGTGAGAGTATGTCAAATGTTGTAGTCTTAGTGATGTGTGTTATAGGGGGTACAGCTGTTAGGGTTAGGTTTATGTACCCCAACACTTTCATTCTTGACATGGTATCACCTAGGTTAGGATCCTGTGGGATCCCGTTCCTCTCGTTTGTTGGGCTGAGAAAGCCCTTAGGATCTTTGCAGGACTAAATTCAGAGTAGGACAATGTAATAGCGGAAGCGTTTAATAAAAGGCTTGTGAACCACCTTGCGCAAGTATGTGAGGGCAAAATAGATTGATTAATAGCAAAGAGATACCGTAAACCCCCGTATATAAGACCCTAGGGTATTATGATAATCTGGCCATAAAAAATTGGGGGGTATAATTAAATGGTACATATTTTATAAGACCCGGGTCTTTTCAAATTGACTTCTATAAGTCTACTGTTTTGGAGCTCAAAGAAGTGAATTGGGATTGCTCCGTTTTTAGCACCTCCCAAATATACTCGAACTGGTCTCTTCCTGGGCCAAACCCACATCATCATGTACCCTATCTAAAAGCCTCCTCCCATTGGGCACAAACATCACTTGGTGTTGACATAAGCGAGAAGGGCACCGTTTGATGGGCCCGGCGCGCAGTGTCGCCTCGACCTGCACACCCCATGCACGCTTCGTGCGATCCTATAGGGCGGGAGCTTCAGACTCCCGTACTGTCGTCTGGCACGTCCTTGTTTTTGAGGGCTGACTTCACTTCCTCCTCCAGTTTCTTCCCCCCTTACTGTGCTCGGCTGGCTGCCATCTAAAAGATGGTTGCCTGTTCCTTTTTCACCTCGAAGCTAGCAGCCACTTCATCCCCACTTTAGCCGCCATGGTGACATCACCAGATGCTGGGACGTCCGATGCTCGACGCGGGCGCCGCAAGAAAGTCCAGAAGCCTCCTGTTCTTAGGCCTTCGCCCAGGCCCGTCATGCCAACGCCAAGTTCCTCTAGCAGCGATGAGACAGATAAGGAGCCCAGCGGGAGCCCACGCCGTCCGCTTCCGCAGGTGAAGGTTCCCGTATTTCCGGAATCAAGCCGACCGCAGGGACAGAAGAAGCGGGTGCGTGACGCAGAGACGCCGGAGACAAGGCGCCGACGAACGGAGAAGAAGCGGAAAGCTTACACCGTCAAGGAGAAGCTTTACATGTAAATTCCTCATAACCACCTGGCTGACTCCTCCTTATCCCGTGCGATGCAGATTGCAAGCAGAGGTGCGAGGCCTTCTGGGAATTCGTGAGGCAGATGCGCGTGCTCAACTCCTACCCCTTCAACCTGATCGTGAACGCGGATCAGACACCCCTGTTCCTTGAGATGCCTGCCGAGCGCACCCTCGAGATGAAAGGCGCTCGGACCGTGCACGTGCGCACCGCGGGGTACGAGAAGCAGCGCGTCACGGTCATGCTGGCGGTGACCGCGGGCGGCTTGAAGCTCCCTCCGTATGTGGTCTTCAAGCGGAAGACCTTGCCGAAGATCCCCATACCCCGAGGTGAGTTGTGACTTACCGGATGTTCTGGTGAAGGGAATTGCACCGCTAATCTTTCTTTTTCGTTGTGCAGGTGTTGTCGTGCGAGCCCAGGAAAAGGGCTCGATGGACGAGAACCTTGTCCAAGACTGGACAACGAAGGTTCTCATCCCCTTCCTGAAGCCGCACCGTGAAGCGGAAGGGCAGCGCAAGGACGCGCTCCTCATCCTCGACTCCTACCGAGGGCACACCACGGAAGCAGTCGGCCAGACGATGAAGCTCTTCAAGCTCACGCGCGCGGTGATCCCTGGCAGTTGCACCTCGCTGGTGCAACCCCTGGACGTTTCGGTGAACCGCAGCTTCAAGGCCGGGGTTCGCCACCGATACTCCACGTGGTTCCAAGATGAGGGCATTGAGTCTTTCACCCCTGCAGGTAAGCACGTGAGTTGTATCCGTTTCACAGTGTGCCTTGACTGTGTGGTGACTCACGTCTACCCCTACCCGTGCCATTTCCCGCAGGGAATTTAAAGAAACCTCCCCCGGAGAAGGTTCTCTGCTGGATTGCGGAGGCCTGGGCCGACGTCCCAGAATAATTGATCAAGAAATCTTTCGTGACCTGCGGCATCGCCACCGCCGTCGACGGAAGCGAGGATCATCTGATCCTCGCTCACCTCCGCGATAAGGCGGAGGTGGAGGTGCTGGAGGATGTGTGCGAGGAGGAGCTTGAGGAGCTCGTCCTCAACCCGTTCTATCCTGACCCTGCTGCCCCTTCGAGCAAGGACAAGGATGCTGCCTCCTCTTCAGCTGAGGAGGAGGAGGAGGAGGAGGAGGAGGAGGAGGAGGAGGAGGAGGAGGAGGAGGAGGAGGAGGAGGAGGACACGGACGAGGAGGAGGGGGACGAGGAGGACGAGGAGGGTGAGGAGGGTGAGGAGGAAGGCGGTGCAGAGGTGGAGGGTGGAGCGGGTGAGGAGGAGGATGATGGCGATGAGTGGTGGGCAGAAGGGCGATATGAGGGGGAGGAGGTGGAGATCTGGGTTGCTGGAGAGGATTAGGCTGATAATTGGCCTGTGCATGCGCGTTCATGTGTGTGATTGTCTGTACCTGAACATGGAATAGGACCATTTTCCATTGCATTCGCTGAAAATACACACTTCTCTAGGATGTGGGGGGTCTTATAATGTCAGGAGCCATTTAGGGGGGTATAACTCGGATAGACTCGAATAGAGTACCCCCCTCCGTATTATAGACCCGGGGGTCTACAACTGGAGGGGGTCCTATATACGGGGGTTTACGGTACAAGCTTTTATAAGAATACAAGGGAATATGAAGGGTTATAATTAATAATCGTTTTACCATTGCTGTTGCGGTTCGATACAGTGACGACTCGGGCAACTGCTCAATAGCGAGTCAGTTGTTTGTCCTTGCTGTCGCGCTGTACTTGTCAGGTCAAAGGTCGCTGACCTTTGACTTTCGCGTAACCTCCAGCAGTTGTTCAACCTCCGAGGGTTGACTCGCTGATGCTTCGATATGTTCTGCTTCGCTTCTGACTTGGTGTTTCGACACGACAGAGGCGCTTAAATCAATTGTTTCCAACATCGTTCACATCCGTAGCGCCCGAGCCTGTCCCGTACCCTAGTGCCCGTTACGCCCATACTGTCCATTAGCGCCTATCACGCTCGTCTCTCTCACACCCTAGCGCCCGCTGCGCCTGCCGTCGCGTCGCCCCTGCTGTCCCGTCCCGTCCCGTCGCCCCTGCTGTCCCGACGCCCTTGCTGTCCCGTCCCGTCGCCCCTGCCGTCGCGTCGCCCCTGCTGTCCCATCCCGTCCCGTCGCCCCTGCTGTCCCGTCGCGTCGCCCCCTGCTGTCCCTTCTGTCTCGCCGCGTCGCGCCGTCCGTCCCGTCCCGTCCCGTCCGCGTCGCACTTCCCGTCCCGTCCCGTCGCACGCCCCCCGTGCGCCCTGCCCGTCCGTCGCGCCCCATGCGCCCTGCCCGTCCATTGCGCCCCCGCTGCGCCCTACTCGTCCGTCGCGCCCCCGCTGCGCCCTGCCCGTCTGTCGCGCCCCGTGCGCCCTGCCCGTCCGCACTTGTTGCGCCCGTCCCTGCCAGTCGCGTCCTGTCCAGTCACATCGCACTGTGTGTCACGCCCTACGCATGCCCTTTATGCGTTTAGGGTTTCGGTAGCAGCGGTATCCACCTCTACGCTTCCGCTATGGCGACCCCTAGGGTCCTGCGCTTTGACGCTGAGGGTAGGCTGCTCGAGTTCTCGGTCTGGCTCCTGCGTGCGCGCCGCCTTCTAGAGAGCCAGGTTCAGGCACACGAGACTCTGTGAGCGCACGCTTCCAGTGACCTACCTGAGCCCGCTGGCCCTGCACCTTTAGCAGCTGACCCCACACCTGCAGACAGTGATCGTTATGCACGCGAGCGTGCTGACGTGACAGCGTGGAAGTTGTGTGAGACTGCGGCCTGCATCGCCCTCAGCAACCTCCTTTCTGAGTCTGAGGAGACCCACTTCACTCAGGTTCGCACGGCTAGTGAGTTCCTGACTGAGATCAAGGCCCGCTATGCTACTCCCACCACTATCTCTCTTGGTCGCCTGTTCCTTCCGTTCCTGTTTCCTGACCTCGCCTCGTTTGAGCGCACTGCTGACTTGATCACTCGTCTGCGCTCGCTCGATTCTAGCTACCGCTCTGGTTGCACTGTCGCACAGCTTGCACTGCTCCCTCCCCCCATGGCGATTACAATCTATTTCATCGCCACTAGCCTCCCTGACCGCCTTGCCTCGGTTCGTGATGCACTTCTTCTGAAGCACCGTAGCGAGCTCACTATCGAGGTCCTTGAGTCGGCCCTCAATGACATCGAGAGCAATCTCCGCTCGGTAGCCTCTGCCTCTGGTGCTGTGCCCCCTCTACTGTTCCACGGGTGCACTGTCCCTCAGCTGCCCACCTTTACTGCCTCCCTCGCCACTTCCGCTACTGACGTGACCGCAGCTGTTGTTACGACTTCTTCGCGGTCTCGGGGTAGGAGTGGTAGGAGGGGCGGTCAGGGTGCAGGCGGAGGTGGTGGGGGTGACGTGGCGAGCGGCAGCGGCGGGAGTGCAAGGGCTGGAGGAGTGCCTCGTGCAGCGGCCGGTGACTCCCCTGCTGCAGCGGTGGAGGTGACGCCCGGGTTCGTCAGCCACCTACTGGTCTGCCAGCCGCAGGGGGTGGAGCAGTGGCGTGGTACCTAACTCAGTGACAGCAACAGCAGCAGCAGCAGCCCCTCCCCTCGCAGCAGCCACAGCAGCAGCAGCGGCAGCAGCAGGGGTCAGGACAGCGTCTGCTGCAACGCGGTGTCGTCCACCCTCCCTGCACCTATCACGTTCTGACAGGTGCCCGCCGCGGCCAGCCTTGTGGCCGCTGCTACCCACCGGATCAGTGCTTTGCTCAGCTTACTGACACGATTCGCTTGGCCTACGGCGTTGACGGCCCTGCCCCTGATTGGTTTCCCCTTGTTCAGACGTGCGGCCCCGCTCTGTAGGGCATGTCGGCTTCTCAGTTGGTTGATCTCTTAGGAAATCCTCATGCTATGTATGCTGTTGTTGACTCTAGTGCTTCTGACTCTATTTACTCGAGTGTTGTTAGCTTAGGTGCTAGTCTTGCTGAGGTGCCTGTTGCTAGTGTAGGTACTTGTGTAGCCACTAGTCCAGGAGCTGCACCGGAGGACGCTTCGATGTCGTTAATTCTGGACTCTGGAGCTTGCACGGTTTCTTCCGTGACCGCACGACACTTACCCCGCTTCCTACGCCGGTCTCTGTAGCACTGGCTGATCCCACTTCGGGACCAGTCACTGCTCGCTACACTACTACGCTTCCGTGCCCGGCTGTTCCCTCCGGTTCTCTGACCAACTTCCACGTCCCCTCGTTCTCGAAGAACTTGGTGGGCGTGAGGCTGCTCGTGAGTCAGCACGTGGGTGTGTGGATTGAGCCTTCTGGCAAGACTATGGTTTGTGTCGACGGGGACATGTATGCGCCTCTCGCCACCTTTACCACTGAGCCGGGCTCTGGTCTCTACACACTTCACACTGGCTACTGAGGGCAGCAGCAGCAGCAGATACTGCCCCCGACCCCTGTCTCTGTCCCCCGTCAGGTTCCCGCGTCTCACCAGGTTGTCGCGTCTCCCCAGTTAGCTGTGTCTGGTCAAGTTAGCTGCGTCGTGCTCCTGCCGGTCGCTTGCCCACCCCACTGTCTTGTGGCACCACCGGATGGGGCACCCGTCCATTTCTTGCCTGCGCGCTATGTCTAGTCAGCATCTTGTCTTAGGCCTCCCGCGTGTCTTGCCGTCGCTGCCGCCTTCGCTTGCGCCACCCTGCGGTCCCTGCATCGAGGGTCGGCTGCGCGCCACCCCTCACTGTCAGAATGAAGAAGTGATTGAACTATGAAAGATGAGAGTACAAGTATGAAACCCTAGAGTTGTGTACCCCCTAAAGGCTAACCCACTATAGCCTACACATCAATAACATATATGATAATGTTTGACACACCCCCATAGGCAAAGTGGGGGAGAGCAAGGGGTCACAAGACCAGTCAAGAAAGGCAAAGCAAGCTCAGGGTGGATCACAACGTCACCACACAGTCTGAGCACAAGCAAAGGGCCACAGGGCCAGTTCAAATGCAGAGGCATATATAGACAACACAAACAGCAAGGTGATATCAACCTAACAAAACAAACAAGCAGGTATATATATATATATAGATCACAGTACAGACAAAGCCTACAGTAAGTGAGGAACAGTGGGCACAAGCCCCAGGACAGTACAGAAGCGCTGATGATCACCAGGCTGAAGTGCCTTGGTGAATATATCAGCAGTGTTGGCCCGAGTGGCCACGTAACGCAGACAAAGCTGACCACGCTGCTGCAGCTCTCGAGCCAGGAAGTAACGGAGAGCGATGTGCTTCGTTCTGTGCTCCAGTCTGTGCTCCTGACACAAGGCAATGGCAGCCTTGTTGTCGACGTACAGCACTAGAGGAGAACTAGGCCGCTCTCCCAGGTCAGTCAGAAGGTAGGTCAGCCAGCGTAACTCCTGTGCAGCCATGGCTGTGGCGTAGATCTCAGCCTCACAACTGGAGCTGAGAACTGAAGACGAGCGAGTAGAACGCCAAGAAACTGAACCAGAGCCAAGACTGAAGGTGTAACCCTGTGACGACCGCTGAGTAGCCTGGTCGTCAACCCAAGAAGCGTCTGAGTGCCCAGTGAGAACAACTGAGCGCCTCCCTCCAAGCACGAGCCCCATGCCCGATGTACTGCACAAGTAGCTCAATACCCTCTTTGCAGCATCCCAGTGCACCTTTCGGTGCCTGCCAGGAGCCACGTAGCGGGCCAGAAGGCCAAGAGGGTATGCTAGGTCAGGACGAGTGCAAGTCATGAGGTACATGAGGCAACCAACTAGCTCTGGGTAAGGACCACTCGGCTCTACGGACTCATCCGAAGGCAGAGCTGAGAGCGAGTGACCTATAGCCAGAGGAGTGGCCTGTGCTGAGGACCAGGTGAAGCCGAAGCGCTGAAGGACCTGCTGCACCATGTGTGACTGAGTCAGTGTGATGGTGCGGCGTGCTCTGTCCCGGGTGATCCATAAGCCAAGATAGCTTGTCAGTTCACCCAGGTCTGTGCACGTGTGTCTCTTCTGCAGCTCCGACTTCACGTGGGCGAGAGCCTCAGTGTCAGCAGTGGCAAAGACCAAGTCGTCGACGTACACGAGGATGTAGAACGGCGGCAGTGAAGTGTCGTTGCGCAGGAACAGCGACGGGTCAGCAGTAGAAGACGAGAACCCAAGAGCCGCAAGTGTAGTCCTCAGTGTGTCGTGCCACTCACGTGGAGCCTGGCGGAGACCGTAGACCGGCCGCCGGAGGCTCCACTGGGTACCAGGAGGAAACGACCCAGTGAAGCCAGGTGGACGGCGCAGCCAGATCTCCTCGTGCAGACTGCCCTGCAAGAAAGCTGTGCTGAAGTCAAGAGAGTGAAGCTCGTAGTCACGCTGAGCGGCAACGTGCAGCAGCACCCGAAGAGTGGTCATCTCC